GGATTCTGATCAGAACACTATTAGACACTACTTTCTGTTAATGAACTAGGACAGTACTATTCTATTTGTAAAGTCAGAAGAGTTGGCTTTGACTCAGAACTTGTTTACAACTATTAGAACTACTAATACAGGCTTACTAGTAATAGTCTGTTTAAGGAACTCAAATGTAGACTACTACTAATCACTCTATTACTAAAGAACATCTTTGTTAGTAAGATTATAAAGGGGCTAGGCAATGGTACTAAAGTCTTGAATAAAGTGTTAGTAGTAGTTTACAAACCTAAGGAATACTTGGACCTGTTTCAGGTTCTAAGGTTGTAACCAGTTCCAAACTGTAGTTACCTTTGCTAGATCCATGTAGACCTCTCCTTTACTAATTACAAAGCTTAGATAATCTACTGACTCCTGTACAAAAGAGTACTTTACTTCTTAGAGGAATAGCTTATTATTTTAGAGTTACTACAGAACTGCTTGGATTAGTTAGTAATAATACTCAACTGTTTAGGTGAAGATTAGAATGTTGTCCAGATATACACTAACATACTCTGAGTCAATCAGATCTGTAAGGATGTGATTCATGAATGACTAGAATGTTGTAAGTGAGTTAGTTAGTCTAAAGAACATTATAGTTGGTTTGTACAATCTACAATTAGTTTAGAATACAGTTTTCCACTCATCTCTGTCTTAGATCCAAATATTATTGTACCCTTATTAAACATTCAACTTAGTAAAAACCCTAAATGTATGTGTCTTATTAATGAGCTCCTGAATCAGAGGGAGTAGGTACTTGTTTTTGACAGTACTCTCATTAAGACAATAATAATTCTAGACTAGACAGAGTTTCCTATCTTTCTTTTTAATAAAAAAGAAAGAGGAGGCTATAAAGAACTTTAAGGGTTGGATTCAGCTGTTCTAAAGATTTTCCTAAAGAAACTCATTAAGTGCCTCCTACTTGTCTCTGTTAAGTAGGTAGACCTTGTAATCCTTAGGTTAGAAACCCTTAGTCAATTCAATTGTATAGTTCTAGAGACAGTGTTTAGGAAGCTAGTCAAATTCCTCTTTACTAAAGACTTTAGGGAACTCTTAGACAAAATCCAGTAGACTGAGTCTATGTGTATTCTAGAGTAGAATTGTTCTGAGAGGGTTCTAGACTGGTTCTGTCTTAGACATCCTTCAGATTGACTCTGTTCTGCTTTGACTAGAATATGTATTCACATATCTATCCTAATCAAAGAAGAACAACTAGTTACCTTCATTAGAACTGTTAGTAACATTAGAAGTGTTTGTACCTACTTAGAACAGTAGTGTAAGGTAGCTGTAAGACTCAGAACACTGATTGAATGTAAGTGTCTACTCTAACTAGTTAATAGTAGGGTTGTAAGCCTTAAGCCATTTGAATCTAATAAAGATATCTGTCTTTCTAAGGTTAGTGACTCTAAACTCAATACTTTCCTTATGATCCTGAATGGTCATCCATAGTTGGACAAACTTAGTAATCCAACTATTCTAGTTCAGGGTTCTGTCTATATTATATACTAGGATTGGAAGTAGAACACATTAAGTAGGGAGATAGTGTTCTTATATGAAGGCCTTATTAATGTACAAACTAGTACATCTACTGTCTACTAAAGCTATTGTTCAGATCTGGGGGGATCCTAAGAAGGGAGCTAAGAGGACAGGGACTTAGAGCTAGTGTTTAGAATGTTCTCAGATAAACTACTACTTGTTCTAAAGGGAATGTACAGCTTGTGTAATCTTATTGTCTAAGAGAGTAAGTATATGTACTAACATTTCCTCATTAACCTCTCTCTTTCAACAAGGACAGACTCATGTCCTCAGCTGTGAACTCAGTTGAGACTATCCCTACTTGATACTATAAACAAACTACTAAGTAGTGAATAGGGCTAGATAGTATTCTAAGTATTCTGAGATCTTAGAATGTAGAAGTAGTAGGTCAGATTGTATAGATTTAGACTTGGATAAAGTACAAAGAGAAGAATCAAAAGAATTAGAAGAAATAGGAGAACTATCTACTTTTGTTTCCAACTTTTTTCTTTCTAATAAATAATTTTGTTAATTTATTTTTTCTACTTTTTCTACTTTCTCTACTTTTCTTACTTTATTTACTTCTAATCCTACAGTGTCTATTGAATCAAAAGTAGCCATTAAAAAATCTGAGTTATAACTCTTCAGTGTTACATTTACTGTTAGGCCTCTATAAAATCCTAGAGTATATAGTCAGAGTTTAGGAGTTCTAAGGTAACTTCTGGATTTACAGAAAAGGCTTCTTACTATAAATCCTGCTTGTCACTCATTATCACTCTAATAACCTAACAGATATACTGTTACTTCTGTAGACAGTCCTTAATCTAGTGCTCTAACTTTCTGTAGACAAAGTATGCTCCTTACTTTTAAGCTTCTCTAATGTCTATTAGAACAGATTGATTATGAATTACAGGCAGATTGATTTAAGGGCTTAGAACTGTTAGAGCTGAACACATGTATAAGTGTTCTATACAGACTTGACACATCTAAGTTACAGCTTGGTTGAAGGAGATAGTGTGTATCTTCTACTTAGTGTAAGTAGTTAGTTCTAGTATCATTCTAAGAATCTTATCAACTAGTTCTAAGTGAAGAGCTTTTTTAAGCATCCTAATAAGAACATTATTAAACCTGAGTTGTGAATCCTACCTTCCAGGCCAGAATATCAAACTCTTAAAAGAAGGTATTAGTAGAATGTTTGCTCTGTTGTAGAGATACAAGCTTGTTCTACACATTGTGCCTCTCATTCAGATTAATAAAGGAAGTACAGAGTTACTCTATGAATTCTGAATACAACTCATTGTTCTAAAGTCAGATCAGACTTCTGATCTAATAGCTTTCAATCTAGTTCTGAGCTCAGGTGGTTGTGTTACCTTCCTTCATAAAGGAGAGGACAAATAGGACATGATTGAGATCTGAGAATAGATTAGTTAAAGTAGTAGCCATATATAGTTTGACTTGGTGCTGGAAGTCCTTAAAGTACTACTTATTAAAGTCTAAAGGGTAGGCTACATACACTTTCTTTCTAAAACAAGTTACAACTTGTAGAACAACTAGAACAGGTTCTAAAGGGGCTAGAGGCACATAGTTAGTAAAGGCCTCTTAGATAAAGGTCTATATGTATTAAGCTAGTTCTACTCATAACTGCTGATCTGGCAGGACAGTAGGGGTGGCAGTTAGTGTAGAAGGGTCTATGTTTATACTATAAAGGAATCAGTACTAAACTAAAAGGGGTAATGAATAGAAGAAGGGTAGTAAAAGTTTAAAAGGGGTTTAGAGAGTTTAAAATTTAAAAATGTAGAAGGGTTAGGACAAAGAAAAGAGATCAACACAATAGTGAGTACTAATGCTTAAAATGTAGGAGAGTTGTAGGGTAGTAATAGGTAGTCTTGATCTGATGTTAGTAACAGTGTAGAGGGGACCTGAAGGCTTAGCAAGGGGACCTAGGCTACAACTATTCTACACAACAGAAATACAGAATGTAAGTACTAGAACATAGTCAGAACTTGTAGAACAGGCAGAGAGAGAGAGTGAGACAAGAGTAGAGTATATAGAGTGAGCCTAAGAGTACAGGACTACCTAGAGTAGACAAGATCAAGACTATAGGACCAGTCTGATCTTGTACACCTATATATACTAAACTATACAAGAGTACTCAGGGAGCATGAGCTACTAAGAATGATAAACCACAAAGAATGAAAGAGAGGAATGTCAAAGATAAAGGTACAAAGAATGAAGGGATGGACAAAGGGTAAGAGACTATAGAATGAACAAAGAATGAAGGGGTGGTCAAAGGAATGAGATAATGAAGTAAGGAAGGGTAGTAGCAAGAGTCAGTACACATATAGTCTATAGACAGTGCCTCTGAGGGACAGAGTTCCTGAGTTCTGGTACAGAAGGGTGTAGAACCCTCAGAACTGAAGGTACAAGAGCAGAGAACTGTAACACTGGGTCCCCTTACTGAGCCTTCAGGTCCCCTCTATACTGTTGCTAACAGTATGCAGGCCTATATACTTTTCTATGTAAAGTACAGTCATTAAGTATGATTTATAATTACTAGAATCAAACATTAATAGATCTGTATCAAGCATCTGCTCCACTGTCTTTATCCAAATTATGATAGCTTTTGTCCAAAGACAGTACCAGTAGTGTTTCAGATGAGAGATGTAAGTAAATATAGTACATTATACACTGCATTTATATATGATCTGTGACAGGAGGTACTGCTAGAAGAAAAATATCAGATACAGAAGATTGATGAGATGCAAGGAGGTGTTGAACAATCTATTCCTGATTGTAGAGAGTATTGTAGATGACTAGCACTTGACCAAATTACATTACCTATGGCTGGAGCAGGAAACAGTACAACATTATTAAACATGGATCATCATTATTAACTAGACTAATACACGTGATAATAATGATACCTCTCCGGCGAATGTCCGTTGCTGTGCTCTTATGAAACCCACCGCGCTGATCGAGGAGTGGTTGGACCCCAATGCGCATCCCGGCATGCCTACGGCTGTGAGGTTATTTCCGTGATCGGAATAAATAATAGCTTCCGATCAGTACCGATCATGTAGGACAAGCTTTTCTATGTCACTTACTTCATTCTCTAAGAGCAATCGACCGACTTAGAGAGGATATGGATTGAACGACAATAAACGACGGAGCGTCTTGTGTCCAATGAGGTGAAGACAATTGCATCACGTGATGTCAAATTTAACAATTAGACGCCGCTAAGCGCGAAACACGGACTGTGATTTTAATTCGCGCTTTCCCCAACGCATCTCCTTGCTGGTTCGTTGTCTCGCCACTATCCCCCGACAGTCTCGCAGGCTTGCAGTAACTCTTGGTGCACTCGGCTGTCTTACTCCCCAACGTTTCCGTCTAATAAATAAGCTTACTTGGATTGGAACTAGAACCCCTCTAACCTGTTTCACTACCTAGAAGAAAGAATGTCGACGAGCAAGCAAGATAAACGACAAAAGTTCATCGATGCATTTGCCAGTATCCGCGATGAGCTGATTGCTCATATGGCAACCGAGAATATGCCTAAGGATGCTCAAGAGTGGTTCAAAAACGTATGCATACTCTTCACACTCGTACTATTTACAATGTTTGCTGATCTGTCCGGTGATTACTGTTGTTGAAATAGAACTTGGAGTACAACGTACCCGGCGGGAAGCTCAATCGCGGGATATCGGTGACAGATACGGTTGAGATCTTGTTTGGCAGGCAACTTAGTGACAAGGAGTATCAGAGGGCAGCGATCCTTGGTTGGAGTGTCGAGTTGGTATGTCTATTTCTTTTTCTGTGTGCTGCAGGAAGTTTCACTAAAGAAATTTTATCTATGCAGCTCCAGGCGTTCTTCCTCGTATCAGACGACATGATGGACCAATCCATCACACGTCGTGGCCAGCCATGCTGGTACCGCCAACCCCACGTCGGAAACATCGCAATAAACGATTCCTTCATGCTCGAAGCAGCGATCTATCACCTCTTCCGCCAACACTTCCGTCACGAACCCTATTACGCAGACTTACTCGACCTCATGCACGAGACGACTTATCAAACGGAAATGGGTCAACTCGTCGATTTGATTACGGCTCCGGAGGAATCTGTCGACTTGAGTAAATTCTCGTTGGAGAAACATCGGTTTATCGTGCTGTATAAGACTGCGTATTATTCGTTCTATCTACCTGTCGCACTAGCACTTTACTTCGTTTCTCCTACGGTACCCTCTGTCGCCACTCCCCAATCTCTTAAGCGCGCGAAGGATATTCTCTTACCACTCGGCGAATACTTCCAGGTCCAGGACGATTACCTTGACTGCTTCGGCACGCCCGAGCAAATTGGGAAAGTCGGAACAGATATCATCGATAATAAGTGTTCATGGCTGATCAACGTCGCACTCGCTCACGCAAGCACTGAACAACGTAAACTTCTGGATGAGTGTTACGGACGCAAGGACGCAGAGAAGGAGAAGAAAGTGAAGCAGGTGTACGATGAGCTGGATTTGAAAGGGAAGTACGAGAAGTACGAGAAGGAAAGCTATGAGAAGGTTACGGGCCTCATCAACCAGCTCCCTGCTGATGGTCCTCTCAAACGTGAAGTGTTTACGAGTTTCTTGGAGAAGATTTACAAGCGGACGAAATAGGCGTAAAATTAGACTTAGGTTCGTTTCCCTCTTTCTGTCTGCACGCATTGGGCTAAATCACTGTGCTTGCGCAGATTCTGGTAACACACTCATATAGAACTTATATTCTTGAAAACTCGTGTATAATGTTGCTTGCATATGGCGCAACTCAAAAACGTAAGATAAAATAATATGCACAGTATCTATAGTCTCGGGAGTTCCTACATCACCGTCTATCATGCCTTCGCATTCATTGCGTTGCTTTTCGAATTCTCTAAAAGGTAGTCATACACTTGCCCGGCGGCCTCCTGGAAGATACGGCTCTTTGCTTCAAATTGGATCCCTTTAACAGGGTGATCGACTGCGAAATGCAATATTGAGTTCTTTGTAACGACGGAGTCAAGATAGCAGACTGACCTTTCATAATCCAGATCTTCTCTGGTTCGCCATCTGGTCCATTTTCGGTCAAAGCCTTGAAGAAGACCTGACACCTTGGGTACTTCTCAAGAGCTATGTTTCACATTATTACGGTCGCTTCATTACTTGGTTCGCATTCCAATCTGGTAAGGCACGTACCTTGGAAAATTCGTTCCCAGATCAAGCCCTCTTGCGTCTCCGGCGTCGCCTCCTCGTACTCGAGATGTTCCTCCATCGCATGAATGGCTTCAGCCAGCGCATTAGATACCTTTGTAAATCCAAGTCTCTCATGTTGCACTACATAGAGACGCAAAGTAAGAATAGAGCACAATCAGTAATGAGGTATGTATGCACCTCGAACTTTCCATGGGTAGAAGTCCTTGCCGGTGCCTTCTTTAAAAAGGAGGAGAGCTCCTGCGTAACGTGTATCATTCTGCAAAACTGTTGCACATGCAGGTATTGTGAGTAAGGAGGCCGAAAAAGTCTATAAATACTACGTACTCTCGTATAGACGTCGGAATCGAGCATCACTTTCGCTAGGTTCTTTGAAGTCAAGATAGCTCTTGACTTTCCTCGCTGCGTCCTTCAACGTCGTGGCTTGATCTTGACACCCACGGGTTCGATGTTCGACTGTGATATTTTGCGTGAGCGCCTTCGGACTATCAATACGAAATGCAAATTGTGTTTGCTTACATCTGACCTGCCAGTTGATAAACTCTCCATAATCACCGACGTGAATCTTTCTGAAGTACAACTGTCCGCCGCTGTAGTCCTCATTTGCGACTATAATAGTGTGTTAGCGCTAAGCAGCCAGTGACAAGAGAGCAAAGTAGGAAATCCTCACTCTTAAGCACCAGGCGGAGGATGTCAGCGTCGTTATGATGGACAAACGTCAAACCGTCTTCGGCTCTAACCCATGCCGGCTCTCGAGTACTGTTCCTTCGCGAGGGACCGAGAGTATACGCTGATTTCTTTACTGCCTTATGAGATCTCTTGACTGCTTTATGTGACTTCTTGAAGGCACTGTGTGCTGTTTTTCGGAGTGTGTTTAGAGAATCGCCGATGGAGAGAAGAGTCGCGTCTGTCGGCTCTTCTGGCCCTTTTTTATTAATAGCGGGTTCGTTCTGAGGTTGCTCCGTCTGTTCAGGCGGCCCACGAAAGGCCGATACGTGTGGGACGGAATCTGGAGCTTGAAAGAGAGACTCGTCGGTCACTTTCTCTCCGGTACGTGCGAATAAAGTATCGCGGCCTGTTGATAGATTTGAAGACATGAGAAGAGAAAACTAGAGTGAAAACAGAGGATGCTAGGACCAGAGATACGGACATACTGCAACATGCTAGACAGTATAAATCACTTCATGACCCGAAGTCGACTAGAGCAAAGTGACGTTGAGACGCGCAAAGACGGTCTATCGGACGTATGGCGTATACGAATACAGAGACAGCTGCTTGCAAAGCACATCTGTAGAACCTTGGCGTTTGCTTAGAATGGCTGATGCATAGTACAGACCGTGCACGTTTCAACGGGTTGTCAACAATTGGGCATCGAAGCATGTAAAATTCGTCCGAAAGACTTTAGCGCTTTGCCATCAGTTTCAGACATCATCTATGAGCTGCTATGAAGATGCTATCATTCGTGATTGGAACAACAGTTGGGAGAGTGAGATTCTGAACATGAGAGACGAAGGCGAGTGCGAGTGCGAGTGGTACTTCAGGTTACATTACGTAAGATATGAATAAGCTCCAATTCTAGATTGCTACAATCTCTTCGGTAATAATTACACATTAATTATCCACAATGGCTCCATATTCACAGGAATCATCGTGTTGCAGCCCATGAATTTGCTGCCTTCTCCTGCTTTTTCCGACCGAGGTGGTTCAGCACTGACAGTACCTGCACAGCAGCCGTTTCAATGGAAGGCTCCTTCGTCTCGAACTGAATACCGCGAATCGGGTGATCGACTATAGTTCAAAATAATAATAAAATTCAGCGTCATATTTCTTCATTTGTATTGCAAATCAAAGTAAGAAACTGACCTTTCATGTGCCACAGTTTCTCTTGGTCGCCATTTGTGTCTTCTACTATGACCTCTTTGATGAATACCCTTGTCTTGCGATGTCTTTTCAGTGCTATTAAAATAGGGAATATTACATGTCAAGTGAGATAAGCAAAAAAGAGCGAACGTGGATTGAGAAGACGTACCAGCGAATATCTTCTCCCAAACACCGCCCGTGTAATTTTCTGGCGTCACTTCTTCGAACTGAACATGCATTTCCAAAGCACCAATTGCTTCTTCAAGAGTATCGGCGTGTTTAGTGAAGCCATTTGGGTGATATACTGAAATATTGGTGGGGGATCATAAGACAAGCAAGGGTGACCAAACGCAGGTACGAATGAACACTAACGTCGGACTTTCCATGGATACCAGTCCTTGGCCTTTCCTGACTTGAACAAGATAGTGGCTCCTTCGAAATGCTTATCATTATGAATATCTAATTAGATTATCAGTTATAAGAATTAACTCGACTGTATAACTGAGAACGACTTACATTCGTACAAGCGTTTGAACCTTTCGTCCAGCTCTCCGGGTTCTTTGTAGTCGAGGAAACTCTTCATTCTCTTAGCGGCTTCTTGAAGTGTCTCAGCTTGCTCCCGACACGCACGCCGTTTGTGCTCAACTGTGAAATTGAGTATGAGTCCTACATTCGATGATGAAAAAGGTTAAACTAACGTTTGACCTGCCAGAACTCATGATGATCTGGCTCATCGCGAGTGATCTTTCTAAAATAGAGCTTTCCGTCACCGCCGTTCTCCTTTGCGGCTATGTGGCCGGATCGGCGAAATTGAGGATTATATGCAAGTGGACTTGAGTAATGTATATGTATGCTTACTTGTTAATGCTTCACGAATAACATTCGCGTCTTCTTCAGCCAAACCATCCATCCCATCTTCGGCTTTCTCCCATTCAGGTCCGTCGTCGTCCTTTCCCAAGAGGAAGTGGGTTGATCTCCTGATAGCCCTTCTAGATCTCTTCAGCGCATGGCGTGCGTGTGTCTTCAGAGGCTCGACAAAGGAGGATCTTCTCGACTCGGTCGACATTTCTGTTTCGCTCCCGGAGTCTACCGCACGTTCGAGAGGTCCTTTGAACGCGGAGACGTGGGGCACCTCATTTGGGGAAGCGAAAAGGGTTTCATCTGTCACGGTCTCTCCTGTACGAGCGACCTTTTCATGATAGTCAGACTGAGGATTTGAGGCCATAATGCAGGAATCACGCCAGCCCGACGGAATGGACAGAGAGCAGCACCAAGACAATGTACCTTAGTCTGCAACCTTTGCATGATGGCCAGCAGACAAACTAAGTACCGACATAAAGTGGCGTATCCTGTATGTCGCCACATATCTCATTGAAGTGCCGTTCGACAGATTAGTATAAGCCTTCCGGAAATAAATGTGAAGATTATCGTAAAGGCTTTAGTCGAAACTCGAAAATCCCAGAATGTCTAGTATATACTCGGCGCCAAGGGGTCTGTAACAGTAATTGAGAATAATCTCCAGAGCTAAGGTAATGCTGAAACGAAAGCCAAGGTACCTTTACCCAAGAGAGTACATATTGTGGTGTAAAAATATTGTCGAACTCAGGAAGCAGTTTTATTTGTGTTTATTTGTGGTAGAGTACTTATGTTTCACGCCGGCCCGGGGTTATTCACTGCAACGCATCCTTTAATCGGGTCAAGGCCCTTTCTAGTCCGTACTTAAGGGATGCTTCACTACTTACACCCGTCAGAAAACGGTATTGAATCAATTTCGATTGTCATAAATTAAATTGCCCCCGAACTATACTTCTCGATCTCCATTTTCATTACACACGTAAGCAACACAATAATATAGCCAAAATGAATTATAGCGAAGCAAATTCCCTATTTTTTCTATATTTACCAGGCGGCCCATCTCGCTAATCCTGCTTCTGCTTGCGATTTGCTGCCTTGTCCTTTTGCTTCGCTTCCAAGTACTTGAGTACATCGTTGGCAGCTTCATCGATCGTGTTAGCCTTCTTCTCGAATTGGATTCCTTGAATCGGATGATCGACTGTGCTAGGACGTTAGAAATGGTGACTGAAATTGAGGGAAATGGAATTACCTTTGACATGGCAAGACATCTGCTGCTCTTCGTTAGGTCCATCTTCAGTCACTTCTTTAAAGAATACTTTCATTTTACGATGTTTCTTCATAGCTGTACGTCGGGAAAAAAGTTTCGAAATGAGTAAGACTACTTCTGGTGTGTTGACGATACAGAGTCAAGCCTACCAGAGAAAATCTTATTCCAAACATCGCCTTTTTGTGTTTCCGGCGTCGCTTCTTCGAACGTGACGTGCTCCTCCATCGCACGGATCGCTTGTTCCAGAGATTCCGCGCGTTTGGCGAAACCGCGTTTATCATGATGGACTTATTGGGACAAGCTCGTGAGAAAGAGGGGAAAAAACATGGCAATTATAGTGAAAATGTAAAACGGACCTCGAACTTTCCAAGGGTAGTAGTCCTTCGACTTTCCTTCCTTGAATAGTATAATAGCACCATTGTAGCGCCTGTCGTTGTTGAGATCTAAAGAAATCAAGTTAATGTAGGGTTATCAGATTGATAACTTTGCGCACATTCGGACAGGTTGTGGAACCTGTCGTCGAGTTCTCCCGGCTCTCTATAGTCAAGGAAACTCTTGGCCTTTTTTGCTGCTTCTTCAAGGGTCTTAGCAGTCTCGAAACATGAGCGATGCTTGTGATCGACTGTTGCCGAAAATACATCAGAACAGACATGCAGATTAACATAGTACTACACATACACTTGACCTGCCAATAGTATTGCTCCCCACCTTCGGTTTCAGGTACCTTTCTGAAATAGAGCTTCCCATCGGGGCAGTTGGCATTAGCAGCTTTTGGCCAGTATCAGCTACCCGTGGATTACAGACGTTGGCTTGGAAAAAAGATCTTACCATCGAGTGCTTGCTGAACTGCATTCGCATCGTCCTCTCCCAAATCTGAGATCCCATCCTTGGCATTTACCCATTCGGAACCCTCTCTGTGTGCAAGGAATGACAGGAGCGACGAGGAAGACCGTTTAAGCGCTTTACTAGATTTCCTCAACGCCCGATGTGCATAGTTTTCTATGGCATCGATTCCTTCCTCAATGGACGAACGCTTTGACTCTATAGACCCTATAGACCTTGTAGAGTCTGTTTCTGACTCATCAGACCATAGTGGCTTCTTGAACGCAGAGACATGGGGAGTACGGTCCTGGTCGGGTGTAATAAAGTCCTTCTCGTCCCACAATTCGTCGGCTTTGCTAAGGCGACTGGATGATGACGCTCTCGACATGGTTCGGCAGCCTTGTATCTTGATGAGTGGGGTATGTGATCGATAACATCTGGGTGCCACATACATTTCAGAATATATGGCAGGAGGACAGGCGGTGTCGCAATATTGTGGCGTATTGTGTCGCGGAGTTGGTCGACCTTTACGGGTGCAGATCAAGCACATCCCCGGTAAGTTATATTACTGGAAAGCCCTGACGTGCCAATGGTTAATGGAGTGCACATAAACAATACCTGTTTCTAGCATAGCAGGCTCACTATCGGCAGAATGCGTCCATGTTTCAACTTTCGGGCGGGTTCAATGTGGGACGAACCAGATGGACAAACCACCGGCAATCGCGCTCTCGCTACCAGAGTTCATTAGTTGCACGTTAGTTAGCTGCAGGCGCAGCTTTTGTAGGATCGCTTTTTACAATGAGAAGTAGCATGATGATTGACGGTGTGTAGCAAATTACAAATTTTGAAATTTGGCTGACTGAGGAACTTATACGCATGTTACGTAATACCGTAGGGTTCACCTCATTTGCCTGATTTAGACTGTCGATCTTTTGAACTTTGCTTCACATTCCCCAAAAACCCAACAAACAGAAACCTGGTCGTTGTGTCAAGTTAACTGCTATGAGTTTTATCTCGTAACGATGACTGTTAAAGAAAGTACAAGAGTGGAGAGACATGTTCAAGATCAACTAGTAGCTACGGCCCGCGCCGCTTCCGAGGTCTTTTCGGCAAAGTGGGTTTGAAATCCTGATGACCTGCTTCGGACCCTTCGCATTGCCGCCGGTCAAATAGAATCCACGGATTTCGAAAGCGTGTATTGTCTATCTTTGTTATCTTCAAATACAAGGCTGATGTTTTTCTTTTTTGCATTCTTTTATTAGTGCTGGGCGCGTTTTTCCGCCTTCTTTGGAGCTCCATGCATTCTGCGGAGGCCCGGCCGGAAGATAGCGATATGAATAAGTAAACCGACGTCGAAGACGACTTCGAGGAGTCTTCCTTACTTCCAGCATAGGCATAATACTGTATCATGGCAAATGGTCAGTTTGACGTGTACTTGCCGCAGTCGTCTGGATATGCCATCATTCTTGGAGGAGGGTTTGGGTTTGCACTGCTCATGCTCATTCTCAGCTGGTTGCAGGCGAACTTTACCGAAACATCTCCATTTGACAGTGAGCTTCTCTTTATGCTATCTTTTGCCTCATTCTAACTGTTTGCTAGACGAAGAGTTCTCCAGCGCAAGTCGAAGCGTTAAGCCCGGGCTAGTTTGCTCTGGTATTGTAGGACATGGTTCATAATATTTCGATTAAAAGCTAATAGCGATGAAAGGTTTCTGCTTGGACATGGAGCGCAACTCTTATGGTATCATCCCTGGTTGTATATCAATTCGGAGTGGCTGGTGGTTGGTGGTATGGCGTGTGCGGAACGTACGTTTCTACGCGTAAGCTCATCAATGGCTAACTAATTATCCTATAGGGTCGAGATTATTATGTTTTCTATCATTGCTTCAAAGGTGAAAGAAAACGCGAATGGTGCAAGAACTTTTCTAGAGATTGTTAGAGCTCGCTTTGGAACGTCCGTGCATGTCATGTTTCTGGCAAGTAATCATTAAAACAAGAACAATGTCCTCGTCTGAAAATGTTTTTAGCTTTATGCACTCCTCACTTCACTGCTAGTGTCCTCCATCCTGCTTCTTGGAGGTAGTGCGTCTATCTCCGCACTGACAGGGATGGATGTTCGAGCAGCAGCTATGCTTCTTCCTGTTGGCGTTATCGCGTTCGTTATCGTCGGTGGACTGCGAAGCACGTTTGTTTCCGATTATTCGCATACAGCTATCGTATTTGTCATTATCTGGATATTTCTTTACACGGTTTGCTTCTCAAAAATCTCTGATCGATGCTTATCAGTTGACGAGAACATTTGTAGGCATGCGGATCGTCCGAGCTTATCGGGTCTCCGTCCGCGCTACACGCTCTTCTTGTGAAGGCCGCAGAGCTTGACCCTGTCGTGGGTAATCATGATGGCTCTTACCTCACGTTTCGCTCTAAACCAGCCTTCATATGTCTGTAAACTGTTACTCTACCGAGTATGTTTCACTGACTTTTGGATAGATGCTGCCATATCTTTTACGCTCGGCTCGTCCACGGTATTTCTTGACCAATCCTACTGGCAGCGAGCAATAGCGTCAGAGCCAACAGGCACAACAAAGGTGCGCTATTCTGGCATATAAATAGTATTACAACGTTAACTACTAGATCGCAGGCGTACATCATGGGTGGACTGTCATGGTTCAGTGTTCCGTACGCCTTCGGAACTACAATGGGCCTCTCCGCTCGCGCACTTCAAACTAATCCAGTTTTCCCAACGTATCCTCTGCCTCTCAGTGTGGCACAACAAGGTGCTGGGCTAGTAGCACCTGCAGCTGCTGTCGCTCTCCTCGGACGTTCCGGAGCCATATGTATGCTCATTATTACTTACATGGCTGTCACATCCGCATGCTCTGCTCAGTTGATTTCTGTGTCATCGATTTTCACCTACGACGTGTATCGGGTATGTCTCTCGCTTAATTCAAATTAATTAGTATGTAAATGCACGCTATATACGTAGACTTACTGGCGTCCTAAGGCAAACCCTCAAGAGCTCCTTCGTATAGCGCATGCCGGCGTTGCAATATGGGGAATATGGATCTCTGTCTTTTGTGTCATTCTAAATGCTGGAGGTGTTGATATGAACTTCGTGTTTTGTGAGTATTCCATTATATTAATGTAGTGTATCTCTGCTGAAAGTCTTGCCTGGAGATTTTGCAGGAACGATCGTTGGTGCGCCAGTAGTACCTATCATGCTGACGGTTTTCTGGCCCAAACTCACCAAACAAGCCGTCCTTCTTGGATCCATGGGTGGAACATCCCTTGCAATTCTGGCCTGGCTATTGACGTGTCGCTATTATTATGGAATGATCAACGTCGAGACGTTGGTCAATAATTATTCCTCCCTTGCCGGAAGTGTGACAAGTCTTGGTTCCGGCGCTGTAATTGCGTTTGTTTTGTCCATGATCAAGCCAGACAGCTATGATTTCACGGGCACTCGGTCCAGTGAGCATCCCTAAATTCACGTTTCTACTTCGTTATAATCAAGGTATAATAGTTAAAAGGATCGAAAATATACACGATAGCGACAATCTACATATCGAGATTATGAATGTGCTAGAAAACGACGAAAAGAGAAAGGACCACTCCCAATCTCCATCAGTAGAGCGGAGATCAGATTACAATGACGAACACGTACTGCCGGCTGACGCGAAACGTGCTTTGTGGATAACAATTGCTATCGTCCTCGTTATTTCTATTGTAGTTCCAATGCCCCTCGGTGCTAGTACGTATGTATTCTCCCCTGCGTTCTTTACCGGATGGATGATTGTTGCAATGGGGAGACGTACCCCATCGATTATTTCTTGCATACATTGACTATTATGTTCTTAATCTTCTATCATGGGCATTTCTTAGATCTGGTCATTCTGCGGAGCATTTTGCTGTGTAGTACTGCCGATATGGGAAAGTCGAGCTGCTCTTAGGACCATGGCCATCGGTCTCGTGTCGACAGTCAAGAAGTATGGTTTATGATGTAGAACACCCTTCTCTCGTCGCTACATAACGAATATAACAGTTTTTATTTTCCAAATAAGCCAAGAGAATCTAACTTCATTCACGCAACTTCGCTAACATTAACATTAATTTTGAATTCAGGCTAGCCGATACGGGTAGGGGAGCTGTTCCATAGATGTATGCCAGTCGTGCTCTTATTTGAGGGCGGCGACGGTCTCAACCCCAATGAGTCCTGTATTCAAACCAATTCCCAAGACATGCTTGCCTCGTCATACCTCTGCGTCTTACTGATTACCAACTCGTCGTCATACTGTCTTGCTGTACCAGAATTATATGGCTCCGGTCGCTTCCACTTCACAATCCCATTCGCATTTATTACCAAGGAACACCGTCTCAAATGCTCCACGTCGATCTCCCGCTGTCCTCAATAAAAGCGTTCAACTAGCCCTCTCGCATCCGTTTCTTTACCTCTGTTTTATTGTCCTTGGCGGCCTTCTTTCCCTAGCCTTAGTCGTCTGCTTTGTGTATTGTATCGCACGGTACTGTCAGCGGCGGAAACGGAAAGTCCACCCACTCTTGCTAAGCCCCTTCCCAACGACAGGATTGTTGAGTTCGGTGAAGAGTCTGGGGAGCCGGCTGAACGCCACAGAAAAGTTGCCTCTGGGACTTATAGAAACATCTCCAACACCTACATTGCTCTTTGGCACGATCTCTTTTGATAGAAATATTGCAATTACGGAATTTTCGGATACTATCGCGGAAATGGATATCACAGAAGCTGTTTACGAGTGTGGTACGATATCTTGCAAAGACGGACCTACGAACACAGCAGATGTGAACGTGGTAGGTGGCTTCGGATTTCTATGTTAGGCTGGTTGAGATCTAATGATTCGCATAGGGTAGTAAAGATATACCTCCGTATTCTCGCTCTTCATCCATGACCGTTGCTGCTTGAGATGCTGCACTAAGTTATTTCCCTGAACCAACAAAGGACACAGACCCTGCAATTTCTTCGCCAAACAATCCAATCCAAGTTCCAGTAACATTGCCCCTTGAGGACTCCACTGATGTGGAAGCTTGCATTTCTCAGCTGGCACATCTCCGGCGTGCACAGGAGAGAAGGAACTCAACATCATCAAGTACAGGAAACGCATTCAAGCCGCGTCTGTCATCACCGCTAGCCTCAGGACGTGTTATAAGTGCACAGGATTATTTCTCATGTATTGATAATTAGTTAGAAATGTTCGGTAATCTGTGTTCCGTGTAGCAGCTGTCGCTTTTCTAAGTACCTTGGGCCATGAATGATAGTGATCCGATTGTAAGACAGCATTATCAACTAAACTTGCAAATACACAGTCCTACCATCATCGCATGTGCATGAATTGGTACAGAAGAAACTGCATATAAGTGGCAAACAACAGGGCAATAAGTTAAATAGAACAGACAATAAAGAAAGTAAGGTAAACGCGCATGCAATGCGTTTAGAACGACAAAATTAGGAAGAACAACACAAACACACGGGACTAGAACGAAACAAATCAAAACAAGACGCAGCTTAGAATCACAACAACAACAAAACCGGAATAAAAAATTCATAAAATAAAAAAAGTCACGGGAAAATGTTCTCTTTATCCTGGAAAATACTCCTCGGCGAGCCACTCGTTCTATTTTTCTCAACGTCTTTTGCTATGTTGAAGGGAGTTTTAAGACGAGCATCCAGTTCGCCTGCATCGCTGATAAATAGCCCACGATCAAAGCTTGTATCACTGAGACAATCCACGTCCGCAAGGTCCGAAAAGCCTGTGTTCTGCGCACCTAGTAAACTCGGTGCATCTTGAACACTACGTGCAAAGTCGGGTTTGACAGGGCTTGCACTTGGGCTTTGTTGCTGCAGGGAGTTGTTCTCAATCACGGAATTGAGAGAAGTCGCAAATGGGGTTTTCTTGCGTGAAGGGAATGCTGAAGGCCCGAACATAGGTTGGCGTATTCGCGACGGGATGCTCGGCGAGCTTGTAAGTCCGAGGGAGTCGAAGCGCGACACAAATGATATCAGTGCGTGGCGCTCCTCCTCCAGTTTCAGCCGCATCTGACGCACATGGTCAGTTTCTGCCTACACTGGGAAAAAAAATAAGAATAACACCTACAGATTTCTCCTTCTCTAGACAACGCATGAGTTCCTCTGCCCAAGCTTCTTTTTCCTCGCGAAGTTTACGTTCTTCGTCAACCCGCACTCGCCATTCGGCTTCAACGTCTTCCTTTACTGCGCGCAATGGTTCTCCGAGATTCTCTTCGTAGCCTCGCACGACAACTTCGAGCTCGCGAATTGTCTTCGTTTGTTCCGCAATAAGCTTATCCTTCTCGTTTTCCGGCGCGTCGGCTGACAGCTCTGGTCTTGCAAGAAGGGCTGCTTCGAGTGAAAGGATCTGAGTTGCTTGTGACTCGATTCTTCTACGTGCAGAAAGGAGCTCTTGCTGCAACTATTCAAAGGTTAGTATATCGAGAAACCAGGAGTAAAGGTCACGGAACTTACCTGATACGGTTCCAGGTCGAAGTTGACCTTGGAAGGACTGGACGGGCGTGACTGATCAGCCTTCGTTTCGTCCAAGCTATTACTCGTGAGGATCAGCTTAGTCAACTGTTGGATGCGCGAGTTGAGGTCGTTCATAGCACGGCTTTCATCGAGTTGCTAATCACAAACAGTGGCTCAGTAAGGCAAATGGTGGAAGAAAATATATCATCACCTCTTTTGCGCTAAGACGTCTGCCTTGTGTAGGCGCGACTGCCTCGCGTTCTGCTAATCGCCGTTTCAAGTCATCAATCTCCTTCCTATAGCGCTCAAGTAGCGCATCTGTGTCGACGACCTCCTTCTTCTTTGCATGGAGCTATAACCAGCATTAGTTAGAAAATGTAAGGCGTAGCAATCTCAGAATCAACGCACCTGGACGCGCTTCACCCGCTGGGCAAATAGCAGAGTACTCGTCGACTCCGCCACAGCGCTCGGAACCGGGTTGATCGTACAAATGACCGAGATACGCGCATTACCTGAGAGGGAGGGCTGAAGCATCCTTGTAAGCTTGGAATTTCGGAAAGGAATGTGATCGCTTCACGGTCTAATTAGCCCATACAACAAAGTTTATTGGTGTGCTACTCACCTTTTGCCCTTGGCAGCATTCTCCGCCAGAGTGCCGATAACAGAACCAAGGGTTAGAAGACTACGATTGTCAGACCTTGAAATGTTGTATGAGAAACCGACCTCACCTAGTGTTGATGTACCGTCCTTCTCGAGTCCGATCTTTATCAGATGTTGCACGTTCCGATCCGGCCAAATCAATAAGGCTCTGCAACGATGTCAATAGGTAATAGTGGGGCTTATCACTGTCAGAAACTCACAAGAACACTCATCTGTACGCTGCGTCCGTCCCTACTCTGCAACCGAGCACCACCTGGTAAGTGTGGAGTGAAGGGTGTCACTCGTCCATCTCCAACTTCAGATGCGCCCCCACGCTCTCGGCTCTCGATTACCAGTCGAAAGACCGAATGACTGCGCGAGCTTCGTTCATTCCAGTCTGTACTTGCTGTGCGTCTGTTCCCGTAACCACGGTCAAGGACTTCGTGTACGCCTTTTAGACTAGTAACGACTTCTTCACGAAGCGGAGCAAGAATGACGTTGTCTCCGATACCTTGAATTTGAACGGCAGAGCGTACTGAAGGCGGAGCAAGTAAATCGAAGATGGCTTCATTATAGATTTCGAGATACGAGCATCGCAATAGATACTCGCGGGATGGAGTCCGACGGATGAATGCGAAGACATCTTTCATTGCACGTGGAATGATACCAGGCTGCTCATCGGTGCCTGTCAGTGTATAAGTCTTACCACTTGCAGTCTGGCCGTATGCAAAGACAACGCTATTGTACCCATTCATTGCAGCTTCGACGTGACTTCGCGCAGCCGCGCGGTATACGGCTTTGTTATCTGAACCAACAAGCACCTCATCGTAGTGATATTCCGGCGCTGGGGTCGCCGGGGACTTGTGGTATTGTGGCAATAGTTTCAGCGAATTCTCCGAAGGCTTGGCAGTCCATGCTTGCGTTTCTTCGGTAGGGCGAATTCTGGAGGTGACACAATAACGTCATGAAAGAATGAGATAGAGGTAAAGCGCAGAGACATACCGTATTGACACATGGACCTTATCTTCCCGACCATACTGCATAGAGCGTAACTCGCGTTCGTCCAACTCGAAACTAAGATCGACATCCACGTTTTCCGCATCTACCAGAGCCTGCTCTGGATCTATCCGGCTTACATCCATCCCGCTCTCCATTACAATGTCCTCGCAGCGGCTCTGGCTACGCATAGGTGTTCGCGGGCTTCCCGGAGGCAATGGCGTGGAGGACCTTGAGCGTGTCGGTGTTCGGGGAGAGCCAGGACAAGACGCTGAGCTTGTTTTTGTCATTCGACGCGTCTTTACTTCCGTTGAGAGTGCAGCCTTGTATTTCTTGACAGCAGGACTGTTGTGAACCGTTGATGATGACTCGGTGGTGGACGAACGAGCGGTGGACATGGTGGAGGACGCGTCGTCTGCTCTACTGAACCGCCTCTTCGGCGTACTTGGCGGCTGAAGCTTCGATGTGCGAGCTGACATGATTATATACACAAGGCAAGCCTCGAGATTTCTGCAGCTACCGCCGTCTTTGCGTCCTTGTTGCCGTCGTTGTCGTTGTTGAAGGTAGCAATACAGGTTGAGTTCAACTTGAAGCGCAGTGCGGACTTGCTCAACATAGCGTCACGGGACCGTGCAGATCACGTGGAATTTAGATAAACTCGTACACAGACAGTTTACTAGGGACTGTAAGGTTGGGAAAATATAAACTCAACCAACTGTGACGCGGCAGTACTAGCCTCTTTTGGGCCATACAATGACGGACGAAATAACTTCCTCAAATAACCTCAAATGAATATTTGGGCAACATAGAATTGTAGAGGACATCTGTAGCTATAAATGTATGTTTTTATTTTTCAAAAATATTAAGTACAAATTTTTTTATTTTCTAAGAAAACTTTTGTTTGTTAAAATAGTCTAAAATTGCATTTCTATGAGTTTGAGCACTACTTGAAAATTTTTGACCCAGATTTTTACTACTTATATAACACAAAAAGTTATGTAATAGTATTAATAATAATACATTTGTTAGCATTTTTTAAAGTAATTTTTTCAAAATGCTTAGAAAGTTGAACAGACACTATATAACTGTTTAAAAACTATCTTTAAATATTAATAATTGTATTTAAATAAGTTTTAAACTTGTTAAAGTTAATAAAACAAAGTCAATTTTTTCTAATCTAGAAATTTTTACTATAAAGTCCTTCCAAAAGGAGTATGTGACTGTACTGTAACTAATGTAACAGATTGGTTGAGTTTATATTTTCCTAACCTTAGTAAATAAGGCTTTCTATAGTATTATACTATAGTTAACAAATTCTTACAAATACTATATTTACAAATAACTTTCTTATAGTACTTATAGTTTTTACACATTTGTTAGTTATATATAGAAATTAAATACATTTACTGTAAATATTTATAACTTTCTAAGTATTAGTATTTATTACTAAAAAATAGAACAGTATTAGAAAAGTACTAAATACTATTATAAACAAGTTCTGAGTTTATAGTAACACACAAAGACTAACAGAACAAAAGTATCTTTATTATAGTTAGAAATACAAACTGATACATGTACTAATAAAGGACTTACCTTTGTTATAGTTAGAAATACAAACTAATACAATAAAGGTAAAGAATACTAACTATATATACTAAGGAAATAGTTTATACTTAAATAGGAAAATAAAAGGGGAAGAAAAAGGGGAATATAATGTATACTTAAAGAGAAAGACAAAAGAGGATAGTATGTATTTAAAAATGTAAGAAAGGTGATTATAATAAAAGAAGGACTTAATACAAGTATGTAGAAAAAGTATATAGTTTAATAAGTTATTATAAGAATCTATATATAGAATTTATAGTTTTATACTATAAAACTGTGTAAAAACTGTTATAAACTGTTAAACAGATTTACACTTCTCTCTTCTCTAAAAAAATAATACTCTTATAAGAATACAAAGCTAACTAGACTTGTAAAACTTTAAGAGCTAACTTTTAAAGTTTTAACTATACCTTTTATTCTTATCCTTATTTACTCTATTCTACTTATTCTACTAAATACTACTAACTTTAACTTTTATACTTTATATAATACTTTATAAACCTTCTCCTCTTCTTCTACTAGACTTAGTTAATTAAGAGTATATTATAGAAAGAGTATATTATTATTTAGAACATAATACTTAAGTTAGCTTATATAGAATTCTAAGAAAGTCTAATTAGAGTTAAGTAGCTTTAAAGTGTATTCTAACTTGTTTAAGTTTACTATAATAATAAAGTAAGTCTTACTAGATTTTTATAATTCTTAACATTTTATTTATTATTCTATAAAGTTTTATAAAGATTATATTAGTATTAAGTATAAGAGAGAGTTATAAAAATATAAGATAGTATGTATAATTATAATATAACTAATTTATTTCTTACTCAATATAGTAACTTGTGCCTCTTTTGTATAATAGTCTCTTAACTTATATTCTCTAATATATAATACTCTATTAATTCTTTCTAACCTCTAATATACTTGTTAGCTTTATAATATTTGTTCTTATTATTTCTTTAATCTTATTCTTAAGTTTTATTCTTTACTTTACTCTTATTATTTAGTTATTATAAAAAGTAGTTTGTAAATATAATAGTTTCTTAGTTTTTTAACTCTTCTCATATTCTTACTTGTTCTTCTAATATAAATTCTAAATAGTAGCTTTATGTTAGTAACAGTATAGAGGGGACCTGAAGGCTTAGTAAGGGGACCTAGGCTACAACTATCCTACACAACAGAAATACAGAATGTAAGTACTAGAACATAGTCAGAACTTGTAGAATAGGTAGAGAGAGAGAGTAAGACAAGAGTAGAGTATATAGAGTAAGTCTAAAAGTACAGAACTATCTAGAGTAGACAAGATCAAGACTACAGAACTAGTCTAGTCTTATATACCTATATATACTAAACTATATAAGAGTACTCAGAGAGTATAAGCTATTAAGAATGATAAGTTATAAAGAATGAAAGAAAGGGAAGGTCAAAGATAAAGGAATAAAGAATAAAGGAATAGACAAAGGGTAAGAGACTATAGAATGAATAAAGAATAAAGGAGTGGTTAAAGAAATAGAATAATAAAGTAAGGAAGGGTAGTAGTAAGAGTCAGTATGTATATAGTTTATAAACAGTGTCTCTGAGAGAGGGAAGTCCTGAGTTCTAGTACAGAAGAGTGTAGAACTCTTAGAACTAAAGGTACAAGAGTAGAGAACTATAATATTACCCTCTCTCTAAAACCAATTATTCTGATTAGTAAACATAGAGCTTAGTTAGTGACTCAGACATAAGTTAGAATAGTAGAGCTTAGAAATTTATAAGGCTGAGTTTGTGTAGAGTACTAGGATGAAACTAATAAAAATCTTAGATTGTCTTAAGAGTATAAGTAAAGTTCTTAGTAGGTTTCTAAGTATACTCCTTAACTAGGTACCCTTTCTAGTAAACAAGGAATTTGAGTTTTCTGTGTAGTAGTTTAGTATTTACTATGTACTCTACTTTATATTCTAGTTTAGAGCTAATAAGTTCTAGTAGAGACAGAGGGAGTCTTTATTATGAAGGAAAACTAGAATTATAGTACTAAGATAATAGAACCTTATTAAACACTAAGTGTATACACTTTTATATTGTTAGAAGTTAGAGTTTGTAGACAAAGGTACTAACCTTCTTTTTAATAACAAAGAGTCTGAAGCACTTGTTGTCCAACTTCTTTATTAGGTAATCTAAGGTCAGATTAGTAGCTTCTAGTATAACTTTGTTACTAGACTAGTAATCCTTAGTTACAGACCTCTTCTGATTATAGTTTTACTTTATAACTTATACTACCTTCTCTAAAAGAGCTTGTACATTCTCCCTAGTTCTGTGTATCTGTTCTACAAAGTCTGTTACAGATTCAGAACTACTATTCTGGTTCAAAACTGTCCTCTAATACAAATGTCTTTTATAATTAAGGAAGAACAGGGATTGTCCTATTATAGAGTGTTACTAGTTATTGTACACAAATTCTGTCAGAGCTAACTATTTAGACTAATCTGATTACTAATAATTGATGAACATTTAGAGGTAGAGCTTGATCTCCTAATTAACTTACTTAGTTTAATTGTCAGTCTGTAAGTAATATGTAGTAGAAAGGTTCTCTTAAATTTTAAGAAATGTATATAAGTTTTATATGAATTTTAACTCAAATTATAGTCTACAATTGTAAATAAGCTTCTAAGGGAGTCTGTACAACTAGAAAACATGATTCTAATAGATACACACTATACTTTCAAAAGTGAGTTCTGTTTAGGTTAGAACTATATAAACTTACTTAGAGAATCAGTTAATAATCATACAGATAGTATTATAACCCTAAGACTTAGATAGCTTACTAATCAGGTTTACTAAGACTTCTTCCTAAGAGTGATCTAGAATCTAATACAAATGTAAGAGAGTCTAAACCCTAGTCTAGTAAGCTTTAGTCTGTTAGTATGTATTGTAACTAGTTATATACTTTAGGATTTCCTTCTACATTTCTAACTACTAGTAGTTCTAAGTAATGAGTTTCTACATTTTGTGTTAGTCTAAATGTTCTACAGTTAGATTATTATAATAAGCTTAAACAATGTCCTCTTACAGTTTCTAATCTTTTAGAACATATAGTCAGCCTTCCTAGTAAACCTGTCCATTCTTATCCTTCTTCTAATCTCTAGTCTACTTCTCTAACTACTTTACTATAACCTAGTCTTATGTGTGTCTTAGAGCTTACTATATACAAGTAACAAAGTCAACATCCTTAGATTCAAGTCAGATCTCTTAGATTGTCTCAAACACAAAACAGGAATTGTTTAGAAGAACAAGATTTTTATTATTATTCTCTCCCCTTTTATAACCTACTTGTCTTAAGAGTAAATTAGCTTTTATTATTTGTGTTCTAGGTTTGTAAGTTAGTACAAAGTTATAGTCCTACAGTTCTAACATTTAGTAGGCTTAGTAGTAGTTAAGCTTCTAAAGTACTCAGAAGTACTAGAGATTAAAGTGATTACTCTAAATCTTAAACTTCTATATAGTACTAAGAAAATATTAACACTACTCCTTTAAAGAACAGACAGTTGTAAGGAGTTCCTTGTTATAGATAGAGTAGTTCTATTCTGTTACAGAGAGGGATTCTGATCAGAACACTATTAGACACTACTTTCTGTTAATAAACTAGAATAGTACTACTCTATTTGTAAAGTTAGAAGAGTTAGCTTTAACTTAGAACTTGTTTACAACTGTCAGAACTACTAATACAGGCTTACTAGTAATAGCCTACTTGAGGGACTCAAACACAGACTACTACTAATTATTCTATTACTAAGGAACATCTTTACTAGTAAGATTGTGAAGGGGCTAAGTAATAGTACTAAAGTTTTAAATAAAGTATTAGTAGTAG